CGCCGTGTGGGCGCCGACGCTATCGGAGCGCCCGCGGATCAGGCGTGGCCCGGGGGGCGGCGGGGCTGGGGCTGGGTGATGCGACACGCCTCGGGGGGGGGTGTGGAGACGTGACGTGAAAGGTGTCGTGGGTAGAGAAAGGAGGGTAGTGTGAGCCGTGACGGTGGGGGTGACGTGCGAATGAGAGGTGTTTGTAGGTGGAAAGAAAACATGAGGTTTAGGGAGATGACACTTTCAATTTTTTACGATTACATTAACCTTTTTTAGTACTTTTAACTATTACTACATTACTTTCACTACATTACTCTGGTATATTTGTGACGATGCTGGTTAGCGCGAAGAACCGAGCCTGAGGCCCGACCTACTGCGCATATTAATAAAGGCCATCATTAATTTATTATTATTATTATTTTTATTATTATTATTATATTTTTTTATTAATATTATACGACCGTGAAAGAAACGTGGATCATGGACAGGATGGTCGAGATAATATCGGCCAGAATGCGTGCTGAGATGTGCGGTTGCTGGACTGTGCGATGTGCACCAGGTTTAAAGATGCATAATTCGGAAGATGCGTGGGATGAACAGATTCGAGAATGAGACGATGTAGCATTAGATAAAATATTCCTGGTTTCAAGGTTCGCCATGTGGGAAAGATATGGGGTATGAGTAAATCGAGCGAACAGACGTAGATGTGAGAGGGTAACGTGGATGGATGGATGTGTTGTTTTAAAGAGTATGCTTCGAGGTTGAAATGAGAACCCAAATGGCGAAAGTGCGTTTTGGAATGAGACGATGCTATTATTATTATTATTATTATTATTATTATTATTATTATTATTATTATACGACCGTGAAAGAAACGTGGATATGGAAGATGCGAGATATACGGCCAGATGCGTGCTGAGATGTGCGTGGATGTGCGTGGATGTGCGATGTGCACCAGGTTAAAGATGCATAATTGGAAGATGCGTGGGATGAAAGATTCGAGATGAGAGATGTGCATTAGATAAAATATTCCTGGGTTTCAGAGGTTCATGTGGTGAAAGATATGTGGGTATGAGATATGCGAGACTAACGTAGATGTGAGGTAAACGTGATGATGGATGTGTTGTTTTAAGAGATGCTTGAGGTGAAAAGAACCCAAAATGCGAAGTGCGTGGAATGAGAGAACGTGGTGGGATGGGCACTGCACGTGGTTGAGAAACGTAAGAATTGAAGGAATGGAATGGGATGGGCTTTGGGCGAAATCGGCGACGTGTGAGTAGTAACAGGTACGTGGGATGAGAGTTGGGTGATGTAACAGGTTTAGGAAAGAGACAAGGGTTGAGTGATGTGAGTAACGTGAGAGTCGCACGGGAATAATAATAATTTGAGTGGAATACGAGTGTCAGATGCGTGGATATCAGAGAGATGTGAGATACGGGGGTGTGGGAGTGCGTCAGATAAGAGGTTCGCGTAGTGGAGCGTGACGAGGAACGAAACGAAAACCGAAATAGGTGGAGACGAAGAGCATTTCTCCAACATTTATGCAAATAAATGGGAAGCACTGTAAATTTCTTTGAGTGGAACATGTACACAAACACGATTAATTCAAATGTAATAAATGTGAGGATGGATAAAACAGAACTAATAAAATAAATTGATGAAATAAGGTGAATAATGTCAAGAGGTACGAACAAATAGGAGAAAAAATAACAAAAAATTATAAAATGTGTCGCATAATCGATGAAACGACGATAGTGAAATTTCACGAATGAAGAGCAAAGGATAAAGTGGCCAGAAAAGGATAACATGTGGAAGAAGGGGCGGATCCGGGGTGGCAGCCAAAAGGGTGGGGCCCTGACTCAAACTTTCCAGACAATAAAGATGATTCCCCTTCCCGACCGCTACACACCCTCGCCGGATACGTGCGATCAGATATGAGGCACGTAATGGAGATCCGCAATTAGAGGCCGCATGCGAGACAAAGGCGATGCGTAATGAGCTATCTAATATGTGATCTCGATGTCAATAGATCGGTTGTTACCGCGTCCATTGGTCCATCCAGTTGGCTGATGCGACAAATGCAGGTAAACAGAACTTCGAAACGTGATCTTTGACTGGCCAGGGGAATATAAATAATTTCTCCCTTTGATTCACAATGGCGACGCATTACAACACGACCTTTCTCTTGCCCTTGGCACCTAGATTCGAATTTTTGTTCGCGTATGCAACAGTTACTTGTTTTTTAAATTATGCTTTATTTAATTGGACGTATGAACTTCTAGGTCATTACCGACCTCAATCAAAATACAATATACACAAACTACAACCGTACATACAACAGCATTCCAAACTAAGCATAAATATATAATTTGTCAAAATAAGTGTAACATTACATGACAATCACTAACAATCTCATTCATTAGCAACAGAATACAAACCATCCTCAGCATACATATTGTGCATTACAAAAGATTTTTGACATAACATTGCGACAGTATTGGTGCTTAACAGATTCTTATTTTTTTTTACAGTTTATTGATAAAGTTAAAGTTACGATCTTTGTTAACTACCTTAGTGGTCTTCTATTGGACGGGAAATGTTACAAAAGAGAAATTTCGTCACTCTGAGAATATTGAGAAATTCATTAAACATAAAAACTTCACTTTCCCGTTGAACATAAATTTTCTTTTCATGCTTACTTAACAAAGTATTTAAACCGAATCGCTGGAACGGATTTTTATTTGTATAAAATAATGGCAAAGAATCTCGAACATCCTATTGGCATAGAAAATAATCGTAAAGAATGTTGATCAGAATTGTTCCTCCGATTTACAGTATTTGTTACTTGGAATGGAGGCCATTATGAGAAATTATGGCTTCTGTGTTCCTCGACATTTCTACAGAGCAATGTTTAAGAACACGTACTACTTTTAAGGATATTTTCACGACAAAACAAACATCAACACCATCACCACGTCCCGGATAGCCTAGCCAACATCATCACCGCCATCACCTTTCATTTATTTATTCACATACAGCTAGGTGATATCAATTCACACGTATTTGAAAACTTCACCACACCCTCACAGATTCTTCATCCTTTTTTTCTCAGCTTTTCTTCCTCATTTTCCGTTCACAACCAAAGTAACGTCAGATAACCAACTAACATTAGATTACTTAGAATAGCAAAATGTTAAAAACGTGAAAATTGTAATACTTGTTATGTAAATCTATAAAATATGTCATTTGCATAAAACATGTTTACTGAATTTCAGCTCTTTCCACATAAATTATTACGATGGACGTATAAGAATTCATTACCTTCTCAAGAAAAAGGAAATATTTATCAGATTGTGGTTATATCAAAGCACAATCAGTGTTTTTTTATGATAAAAAAGTTGCCTAATTGGAGACTGTTATTGATACGCTAACATTTGTTCTTGAAGAAATGTTCTGATCATTCAAATGTTTTCAATCTTGGTATATTATTTAGATAACAATCTTATTGATCCAACATCATTAGACACTCCATTAGAAACACCTATTTCGAAACCTCAACCCAGAATTATAATGATATCTTTTCCTTAGCTCTTAATTTCGAAAGAAGGAAAACTGTCAATAATTCGACAAGTGCTTGTTATGAGTAATAAAACTAGATACGTCCAGTTTGTGTCAAAGTGCAAGAAATCAGGTTTTTCCAAAGCAGTGATAGATCGCAATCACGTGCACCGTGTTGCTACCCCCACCTCCACGCTTGGGCGATGGGAAGGAGGATGGCTGCAAAGATAAGAGACGTACACTATTTATATTAGGTGCGTTGCCCATTGCGAATCACTCTGCCAGTATGAAGGTCCTTGTTGCTCTCTTCGTTTTCGCAGCCTGCGGCGCCGTTAGGGGTAAGTACCCTCAGGACCACTCATTGTCCTTTTATGTACTGCTCTAAGAATAGACGACAGTTTTGTAAGATTTCTAAGTCCCTCATCCACACAAAATTATGCAACTGTACGTGTACCCTCTGCGAGGGTAAGTCTAACACACGTAAAACGGAAAAGTAGGATGTTGTAGATAATGCCATGAAGATACGGCAGGCGTTCATGTAATTCGCGATACGTGAAATGCCGCAACACGTGTTACCCTGCAATACGCGTCACCATTGTACATAACTCTGGATCTGTGTCTTAGGCTTTCAAATATCTCGATTTTGTTTATTATGCTCTAATCAACTAAATGAGAACTTTTTGGATCTAGTACTACATTAGTGAAGGGTTAGTTCTTTTGCGTCGCCTGATTCCGAAGCACAGGTGGTCACAAAGGCGCAGAATCTCGCTATATATGTACAATAAAATAATATATTTGATACTCTGTACCATGTAATCTCACGGGTGCATCTGATTTTTCATAAACGCTTAGTAATATTAAAATATTCTTGTATTCTCACGCACTGGACTATATTGAAAAAGGCACAGATCAAGGTGTGACAAATGGACGTTGTGATGCAAAGTTATGATATTTTCACGTTTAAAATAATGATTTGCACAATTGGAAATGTTCGCAAGACTCCAGTTCTTCCAATAACAAAAGCGTCTACTACTGAATACAGAACAGAAATATATAAAATTGTATGTTTTATATATAGGCCTGTCTAATAAACAGAACAAAAATGTTATCGAAACCTTGTTTATAATGACGATAACGCGTTTCTACTCACGTATAAGCCGTTTTGTCTCAGGGTTTCCAGGATACTTACCTAAAACAAAACAAATGATTATCAATAATAGAACTTACAAAGGCCAATTTAGTTATTACTTCATAAAAAATATGAAATTGATTAACATAACAAAAGAAATAGATTACCGTACTCAGATAAATGACTTCACACCTTGCATTATTCAGTTTTTAATTTGTTTCACAATTTATTGAGAGGAAAAAAACTCGTAAATATTCTGTTCACAATTATCTAACTAATGCTACCGGCAACAAGTAAAATAATCAGGTACAGAAACTTGGCGAAATACAAAATAGTGCGTGTGAAATATTTTATGTTTTTTATTTTCCATATCAACTTACGTAAAGTGGCTCGTTTCCACCTACAAATTATTTCATACTTGGGACCGAAAACCCTTTATTTCTGAATTTTGCCCGCAAATTTCCTTCCTAGCTTTTATCCGAGTTTTGTCAGTTCACAAAAGAAGATTTCTAGAAATTCTAAGCTCAAGAAAATGAGCAGAAATATTTGATTTTTTATGGGTTGCGATAAATACTACTGGTTACATTACGTAATTCAAGTAGAATGTTCTTGCACTTATAAAACCCTCATAGAGACAATGTGTGAATTCAACCTAGTTCAGGTTCGAAAATCCGCCGTCGAGACTCCGTGAATATTTGAGAAAATTCATAATCTAACTGAACTATGTCGAATATCCTACGAACAAACTCACCAAATTACCAAACATAATCTTTTTTTTTTTAATTTCTTGCGGCAGCGTCGGATCCCGCTCTTTGGAAGCTGTGGCACGATGGCGCGGTGCTGGTGGGACCTCCCGTAACTGAGGTGTCTGTTAACGGCGACCAGCTGCGCAACGACACCATCACCGCCATCGATAACTACCTCATCAAGCTGGACTCCGACATCGAACGGCAGTTCGCTTGGGGCGTGAACGAGATCCTGCAGCCGTGCGGACTCCGCTTCCGGGAGATCATCGACATGCAGGTGGGCGCAGTGACGAACTCCCATACTTAAATAATTCTGACTGAGCCCGCATTTACCAACTGTTTCTGTAAAGTGATGAGCTGCACTCAATACCTACACTGGTTGAATAAAAGTAACATCTTCCTGCTCGATCGTACTCGGATTTTTGACACTAGCTGCATAGCTAGGTCGAATCCAGCCACGATGTGTTGAAGAGAATCTAAGCGACCGACTGCTCTAATTAGTTTCCCGTTGTTGCTATGATCAATACCAGATGAATGCCGGAGCAGTATGCTAACAAACTGGCCTCTCTCTGGTCATATCATCTCCCCATACTAATACATACGTGCACTACACTACTACACATGTCGGTAGACTATTCAGGAGCTTAGAGCTTGTCCCGTCTGATCCGATGCCTCTCTGGGGAGATAACTGGAGGAGGAAACACAATAAGACGCCGTATCTCATCTAGTAGTGGGGAACACTGTCAAGTCCGGGATAAGAAACATTTACTACACTAACGGGTCTAGCGAACATAGCCGTTGGCGTACCCGTAAACATCAATCATCAGAGATTGTAGGTCACTATTTCGGGCGTAGCGAGTTGCCAGAAACTTAAATGATGCATTCGCCATTGTTGAGTTTGTTGACAGAATCGAATTTGTTGGCCGACTGATCTGACCTGAGTGGTTTCCCAGATTGCTTCCATGCGAGTGCCTGAAGATATATTTTTGATCCTACAAGTGAGCGGTACCAGTGCTAGGATGCAAGTGATCAGTACTAGTTGACCTGACCGATTCGTCGAATCGTATTTAATCAAAACTGCTCAAAGATTAAATAGAGAAATAGTTAAAGATGACATTGATTTCAGTTTCTTACACAAATCATCCTTACTAGAAGATGAATATCAAACAGTGTACTGAGAAAAAATATTTGTGCGCAATGAAAATCCAACTGCTCTGAAAAAAAAAATTATCATCGTCATCACAATATTTCACGCAACGGCTTTTAAGTATTTTTGGAACACGACAACATTGTCCATCTCAGTGTTAACATGCTTGTAATGTTGTTCCACAGAATTTTTTCAATCTCAATTTTTCAAGTTCATTAGAGATTATTTGCATACCGAAGCACTAAATGGATCTTCTTCTCCAGATTCTGGTGACCGCTGGCATTGCGAGCCCTGACCAGTTCGACTACCAGCTGTGGTACCTGACGCGCTCCTACGACAGCGTGGTTCAGCTGGTTCGCGAAGGAGAAGGCTCGCTAATGCGCCTCAGCTCAGAGGTGAGTCAGCTGCTCTAGCAGGGAGCCACGGGCGTCGCAATGCAGGGCATGCATCTTGGAAACGGCTTAACAGTTCCAACTGTAATAAGGACTTTTGCTGAAAGGTTTATCGGACATAATAGAGTCTACTCTTTTAGATAATTATCTTATATTATATAAGGAAGTATTTTGCTTTTCATACAAATCTAAAGTTTAATTCAGACATTCATAAAATGTTGTGCACATGATCATCAAAACTAACTACGAAATTTCGTGAAACTGCTCTAATCTCAGTTTCCCATATCTTAAAGCAAAATTTCAATGAAGGTCAGAACTGGTAATTGAATACGTGACTCGCCCTACGTAAAACATTAAGTATGAAAACACGTAATGAAAAACTACTAAACGACACATGCCATTTAACAGATTCGTTAAACGCCGTTTAAGACCAAGACGATCAGACATGTTTTTGTCGCTGGAATAGTTATTTGCACTGTTATGGAACTTCGGACTACCCAACTGAAACTACCACAAATATCTTTCACATTCTTCATTTTAACCGTAACAACCTTCAAAATAGGCATAATAAAATGAAAATAAACAACACAAAGCCTTCTTCACACGCCTTAAAGAGAACAGGAACACATATTTCCATTTGTACAAACCAACGTGATTCTTGGAGTTTTCCACAGAAAATTCGTTTCTTTCAGCTTCGCATACGACTCGGTCGTGCTGTAGATTGTCGAATGCATTCTCGCCGAGACAACGATGAGTAACAGCCTCCGGCATGAAAAGGGGTCCATGTGTACCACTTACGTTCACGAAACTGAATGCAAGGCGTGGGCGAAGGCATGCGTTCTGTGTCACGGAATTGGCTCTGCACACTCTGTACTCGGAGAAGTAACACAGAGACCTCATAATGGAACAAGTTGGAGGACACATTACTGACTGTAAAATATAAATAAATACATCATAGTTACTGTTACTAATAGAGTGGCGCAGTTCTTTTTTCTGGAGAAATTCTGAAATATTTGTTGAATTTTGCAATCAGTTTCTTGTTGATCATTCGAAATTCAATGCAACCCGGACTTATCAAATCTGTAGTTTTGAACCACGCAATGATAAGAAGCAGAACTTTTCCTATAGTTCCATTTCTCTTGTACATTTAATACATTCACGCCTAAATGCAAGTAAGATCGATTTTCAGCTTACATATATAAATGTTGTATAATTTTAACGTCCTGATTGTGATAAATGTCAACTAGTTCTGCGAATAAAAAAATGTCATGAAAACTGGTAAAGGTAATCATTCTCATAAAGAAACAGTTAATGTTACGTAAATGTACTTAAAATAAACAAGCACTCACCAGGGGTAATATTTCGTATATTTTTAATACTTGTCTCAATAGCAATTGAAGCAATATTTTTAATTAATAAATTAATTAATTTTTTCTATTTCTTGTATTTTCACTGAATGTCTTAGGACCACATGTAGACAGTTACTCAGTTCTCGGCTCATTTGCGTCACATTTTGATTTTAATAATGGGTTAGCTGTCATGGTTAGGCAACATTTACTCCATAGCAATTTTGTATTTTTGTGACAAAAAACTATTTTGAGGAAATTATTTGAATCGCAACTACGCAAAATTTTATTTTTGATCGTTTAAATTTATTCGTAGCAAATTTGCGAACAAATCACTCCAGTGGTATTAATTTCGACATACATCATTGTAAACAACTTTGCTCTTATAAAACTGTTTTTTTAGTGAACCACTAGTAAAAACGTACTTTTAGGCTATGGACATCGTGTTAAAAGTTGAATTTTAGCACTAGTTTTCAATGATAATTATTATGCTCAAATGTTCAAATGAAACTGTGATTGCAACGAAGAAAGCTACAAACTTCCGTCTGATCATCTTTACCTGATCTTAATGTAACATTGTACCAAATTAAGTGATTTGTAAACATGAATTAAAATTAAAAGTCAATAAGGCAGTTCAAAAAATATTGTGTAACACACGTGGTAAAAGTGATTTTATTTTGCTCGTATGATTGCGTAACTCGGCCTATGCGCATCGTGTCGTAACATTTCGTGCTCGCAAAAAAAGTCAGTTTTACTACATGTATCATAAATGGCTACAATTGATTTGTTTTTCTTCATCCGACCTGGATGGCCGAACATGAGAGTGTCTAGTGTACAGGTTAATGTGTGTCCCCAAGAGGGAACTAGTGGGTACCCAGTGTGGATAGCCGAAATCGGCATCCCTGAAGCTGGAAAAAAATTTCCAGAAAGAAAAAGAAAAGGAATATATTTTTTTTCCCTTTATTTGTTTTCTGGGTCTCTATTTCTCTGTGTGGCTTTGTAGCAGCCCCATTTGGGTCGCGACTCCAAGGCGGCGGTGCCCGAATTCGCCAGCCCACGCTACACGCTCAACCAGCTCTTTTACGGCTTCGACAAAGCCGTGATCGACCGGGACTTCGGTATCCTGCGCAAGTGGCTCCTGGACACCTTCGACGCTGGCCACAAAGTGGTGCACGATGCCGTACCAGTCATTGAGGAGAACCACCGCCAGTCGGTAAGACGCATGACCAATTTCGCCAAAGCACGCCATACCCACGTCCAAGCTCCCTCGGATAAAACTCACCTTTCTATTTCGAAAGAGTTTCACTCTACCTCAGCCGACATAGTTCAATCGTACCCTTTCCTGTCCATTCGAAACACAATTGGATATTGATATCATTCAAGAAATTAAGTCTTGACTTTCTTCTTCTACTGTTTTTTTCTGTTCTTCCTTTTCTCTTTCTTTCCTTTTCTCTTTCTTTCTTTCTCTTTCTTTCCTTTTCTCTTTCTTTCCTTTCTCTTTCTTTGCCTTTTCTCTTTCTTTCCTTTTCTCATTTCTTTCCTTTTCTCTTTTCTTTCCTTTGCTCTTTCTTTCCTTTTCTCTTCTTTCCTTTCTCCTTTCTTTCCTATTTCTCCTTTCTTTCCTTTTTACTCTTTCTTCTTTTTCTCTCTCTTTCCTTTTTTCTACTTTCTTTCCTTTTCTCTTTCTTTCCTTTTCTCTTCTTTCCTTTTTCTCTTTCTTTCTTTTTCTCTTCTTTCCTTTTCTCTTTCTTTCCTTTTCTCTTTCTTTCCTTTTTCTCTTCTTTCCTTTTCTCTTTCTTTCCTTTTCTCTTTCTTTCCCTTTTTCTCTTTCTTTCCTTTTTCTCTTTCTTTCCTTTTCTCTTTCTTTCCTTTTTCTCTTTCTTTCCTTTTCTCTTCTTCCTTTTCTCTTTCTTTCCTTTCTCTTTCTTTCCTTTTTCTCTTTCTTTCCTTTTCTCTTTCTCTTTTCTCTTTCTTCCTTTTCTCTTTCTTTCCTTTTCTTTGTTCTTTCCTTTCTTTCCTTTTCTCTTTCTTTCCTTTTTCTCTTCTTTCCTTTTTCTCTTTCTTCTTCTTTTCTTTCCTTTTTCTCTTTCTTTCCTTTTCTCTTTTTTCCTTTTCTCTTCTTTCCTTTTCTCTTTCTTTCCTTTTTCTCTTCTTCCTTTTTCTCTTTCTTTCCTATTTTTCTCTTTCTTCTTTTTTTTTCTTTCCTTTTTCTGCCCTTTCTTTTCCTTTTCTCTTCTCGTTTTTTTCCTTTCTTTCATTTTCTCTTTCTCTGTTTTTCTCTTTCTTCCTTCGATTTTCCTCTTTCTTCCTTATTCCCCTTTCCTTTCTCTTTCTCTCTTCCTTTCTTTCTCATTCTTCTTTCCTCCCTTTTTTCTTTCTTTCCTTTTTCTCTTCTTTCCTTTTTTCTCTTTCTTTCCTTTTTCTCTTTCTTTCCTTTTTCTCTTTCTTTCCTTTTTCTCTTTCTTTCCTTTTTCATCTTTCGTTTCCTTTTTCTCTTTTCTTTCCTTTTCTCTTATCTTTCCTTTTCTCTTTCTTTCCTTTTCTCTTTTCTTTCCTTTTCTCTTTCTTTCCTTTTCTCTTTCTTTCCCTTTTCTCTTTCTTTCCTTTTCTCTTTTCTCTTCCTTTTCTCTTTCTTTTCCTGTTCTCTTTCTTTCCTTTTCTCTTTCTTTTCCCTTTTCTCTTTCTTTTCTGTTCTCTTTCTTTCTTTATTTTTCTCTTTCTTTCTTTATTTTTCTCTTTCTTTCTTTATTTTTCTCTTCCTTTCATTCTTTCTTTGTCTCCACCAATTCTCATTCATGGAAAACTATACTGCCTGATCAAATGTCTCAGACATTCTCAAAAATATATCCTTTATTCCGTAACTTTTATTAACTTATCCTTTAGTCTCTCTTAGGGGTTGCATACTTCTCTTTTTCTTCTTTACTGTTATCTTTACACCGTTATATTCCTTTTTATAGGAAGGGTACGCTTGAATCCACAAACCTAGAAAAAAGATGGAGATTTGGAGGCTCTAATCTAGTATCTTTCTTCTATTGAATTATTTTATTCTTAGCAAATCCTTTAAAACGTATCTTCAACCCGTTTCGGCGAAACCAACAAAGTAGATTTTCTTACCTTTACACACAAAATTAGGGACACACATGTACTAAAATTCCATTGCAGGTAAATGTTTACCAGCTTTCGGCAGTTCATTCACATTATTTCGTTCTAATAAGTTTTCTTTCTTACGCAGCGTAGTCCAAATTTACAATAAATATTATTGAATAAAAAGAATACGAAAGAATTCAGAGTCGAGAATTTCGAAAAAAAAGAAGAAAAAATCGTTCATCCTCTCCACGATTCTTTCTTTTTGTTCGCCTAGTTTTCTCTTTTTATTGTAAACTGTACAGCTTATGAAAGGTCATTGTCTTTTAATTTGGTACCACTCCCGCACATACAGCGTATCGGAAGCTTCTTTTTACTTTTCTTCTTGCATATTTCTTTGGTTTTTTCCTTCCAAGTATAGTAGATTATATTCTTTTTGCACAAAAATGCTTCTCCTGAATTTTATCAAGAAAGGTTTATGCACAAAATGCAATAGTATTAATTTTGATTAGTGCATATTTACAGTTCATATTTGAGAATTTTTAGGTCATAAATGCACACTCAATATTTTTTATGGCATAAAAATCCTCTCCCTAGTCATGAATAGACCTCCTGAGTTTCGTACTACAAGTATCCATCCACTACGGTTGTAACATATTTTAATTGCAACAATAATTAACAATCGTAAGATTTTTTACACTTTCAAATAATAACTAAAAATTCAGCAGCAAATATACATGCTTATATTAAACACATACGATTTCTGAATATCCTTTAATTTTTTTCGTTACTTTAAATGTGATCATTGGAAAGAAGTCACCACACTTACAACATTGCACAGAGCAACTTTTTCCCTTTAATACAACATATTACGTTGGTAATAATGAAAGATCGTTTGTCTGTGCGCAGTACATGTGGCCCATGGTGCGATCCCTGCAGAGGGACGCTTCCACCGTAGCCGTCTACGACATGGCCATTCAGGCGCACTCCGCCGCCATGTACTGGAGCGAGTACGTCCGCGCCCGCAACGACCTTTGGTCTCTCTGAAGAGTTGCAGAACTTCACCTCCACGAATCAGAACAGGAATTTATCAATGATGATTACTAAAATACTCGTTTGCAAACAATATTATTAAAATGAATATTATTTAAATCTACTCCGATGAAAGAATATTGCTGAAATTGTTAAACCTATTTCATTTCAAAATGTAACCCAACATACGTTTTTAGAGCAAAATAAATTATTCCCTTGTTCTCTCCATTTAATACTTGCAAATATTTATTAACACGTTTTGAGCCAGATTTACCTCGAATACCTTAAAACAAGTCCAAAAAAATGTCTAAATCCAAAGAACATGCACGGTGATCTGAAGATGAATTCATCCAACTCATGTTAAAACATATTTCGATTAAGATAAACAAACATCAATTGACAGTTGCTGTGCGTCGGGGATAGTAATGAAGTGGGAAGAACGCAGATTTATCAATCTCCAAGATTGTGGGCTGAGATTCCACTTTATCAGAAACAAGAAACGTCAATTAAAATATATGACATTATCTGATGCACCTGAAATTTTCCTCTCATCGTGAAACTTATTCCATTTCTTAAGAAGTTATATTCACTTTCATATCCATTCCAGGAAAAAAATTATCACGACCGAATCCATCTCGACGCATTTTGCAATACCACTTGAATACTAGCGATGAAGCGAAAGACACAGACATTCTCCTACTTTCGAATGCGCCAAGTTTCGAAATATCTGTAGTTGGGCTAGCTTTTCGGTTTTTCTCCACTAACAATGATGATAATAATAATAATAATAATAATAATAAACTAACCTTTGAACAAATACGCGGCTTTAATATTCTTTACAGAATTGAATCTACACATTTGACTTACTTTGATATCATTATTCTATAGAAAAAATACAAAATTACTTTAGCATCAAAATGTATCAACATTGCCCTCTAATAAACGATTTTCTCAAAAATAACTCGCCCTAAAAAACAATAAGAATATAATATTTACTGCACACATTAGTTAACCCAATGGTTTTGTTTTTTCCATGAAATATTACGAAGTGTTTTATAAACAATATGTATATTTTTTAACATTTCCTCAATTTTTCGGACTACTATGATGACGAAGAATATCGTAGAAGAATAAATCTGCTACTACATGCAAATGTTCATTGTAAAATTGGAGCCGTTTTTGAACTTTTCAGATAATAGGCCTATTTTAAAATAAAAATTCTCGCAATTTTTATTAAAATCGAACAACTACTTTAAAAAATTGAGATGCTTGAAACCCACAAATACAATAAATTGTAAAAAACGCCTTAATTCTAAATAATATAACTGATGCTTGAGACGTTTTTTTTCAAATAACGCATTTGAAATCTCAAATGGTATGTGTCAAAGGGACGTCTATATCATATTTCAGTGCATTTACCTGCAACCAAACAGAAAGTTACAAAAAGTTTGAGAAAATGTTTTCAGAAAATATAATTTTCAAAATTTTCCTTGTTCCTGTAACAGAAATATTTAAGTAGTAGTAACGCAAAGAAATGAGTCAAGCAAACCCCGTATTTGTGGGGAGTAAAGTGCGTTGGAAGATTTGGGTTCGATTGATTGATTGTTAGTGATTATGTCAACAGCTAAGGTTATTAGTCTCGTGTCTTCCTCCACTTGATAACACCAACTTATCCGGCACTGACCTACCGTTGGCTAGCGGGGTTTTACCTAACCAAGTAGCTCCGTCCAGCTGGGCGCCGCCCCAGCCGGGGCAAGCTATAAGCTCCTGACCGGCATGTGTGGTATAGTGCAGTTTGTATAAGTGTGTGTTAGGGGAGAGGATACGACAAGTAAGAGGAAGGAAAGATCGTGCGCGGTCCGCGGTCCGTTTGTTAAGATACCGCTCGACATTGACCTGGTGCGGATCTGCGTAACCAACGAAAACTACCGTTCGGAGCAGACGGTCAGTAGAATTCTTCTCCAGACAGCGAATGAATTCAATCTAACTGACAAGCTAGAGTGGAAAATCCTGCTAACGCCGGGACTCTCACCTAGGACTTCCCGATCAGAAGCACTGCAGTGACATTAGTTCATGACTTGAGCCACCTGTCTCGATTTCAGGGTTCTGTGGACGGAAGAGAGTTTTAAATTAATGACGGTTACCGAGATCTGAAACCTCACTGACGACTTGGAGATGACCGCCCGAAAATAGTACAGGGCGATTGGCAACGCTAACGTGAACTAACTACCTCATCAAGTACATTCTTTTTTGGAATCCCACACATCATTCAGCACATTACACACGTACTCCATTTACCAATTTGCTGACGCCGTTTCTCGCCAAGCGCGGAACAGAACGGAGCTTCTCGCGTGACGCGAGACCGAGCGAGGAGCTGGACACACGCGACGAGAGCAGCGACGCGACGCGAGGGCGGCGGCGGATCCTGGCGGGGGCCCCGCGTCGGCGCGGGGGAGAGGGCGGGGGCAAGAGCGGGCTCTGTCTCCCGCGAACAGCGATGACTATCAATGAGCCACACATCCTGCCGCTCCGGCCGCCCTCGCCGCGCCGGTCGCTAACGTCGCGCCGCGGCGCCGCTTTCGGCCGACGCTCCCGCGCGTTTCAAGGTGAAGTGGCATGCGTGTGCGTCTGCTCTCTCGCGCGGGGTTAGGCGGCCTGCTTCGCGACCGTCTTGGCTGCTTTCTTGCCTATACCTCCGATTACGCCTACGCCTATGACGCGCTCACCGGCCTAGGTGGCTGAGGGCATCAACTGATGTCACTGGACTTCATCTGATCGAGAGGTCCTAGGGTTCGAGTCCCGACGTAGCTCGGAGTTCAGCCGCTGTCTGGAGGAGAATTCTAGCGCCCAGCTGCTCCGATCGGTAGTTTTCCGTGGTTTCGCCGATCAACACCAGGCGAATGCCGTAGCAGTACCTTAACAAACGGGCCACGGACCGCACGCGACATTACCTTCCTCTTCCAAGTCCTATCCTCACCCCTTACACACACTTGAACTCGCAAGCACTATACTTCCACACATGCTGGGAGACCGGTCGGAATCTTAGAGCTTGTCCCGGTTGGGGAGGTTGGCTGGTGGGGAATTCCCGGTTGGGGATAAGCCGCAAGCCGGCGGGTCTGGAACCACTAATCAATCAATACATCTATCGATCAATCAATCCCTCATAGAGATACCTGGATTGGGAAAACCTCCCACGCCGGCGTGTAGTTCGGTGACGCCATCCAGCGGGGGAGGAACACCGCCACCCCATGATAAAAACCCGTATTACATTAACCACCATAGCAGTTGAGGCGGCCGGAAATACGAAATAATCAATCGTATGATTCACTAAAGACGCTGTATCTACCTGCTCCTCCGACTACTTCTCCTCCAACTCTGCTTAAGGCTTCTTACTTTGCCTTGCCGTGCCTTCGTACCCCCCCGTACCTTCCAATCCACCCAAGCTTCATAATTTCAGTTCCTTAGACGTACGCCGACGCACCAGGAAGAGAAAGGAGACACACATCGATTAACTTCATGCTACCGAATGGAATTCAAAACATTTCCGTGGTCGACTCCCTGTTACACACGGAGGTCTAGGAATTACATTGTTCCGCAAATCTAGAGTCCATTCTGAAATTATTTTCACTTCTGCCTCAATAAATTCAGTGCGAACGTTAAGTTGAATTAAACAGTACCTTCAGAAATGTTGTCGGTATGCAGACATTAATAATTCCTTTTAAAATGGAAGTGGAAATTCATCATTAAATGTCGAACAAATTACTAATGGGTATTAATAAAGTTAGCGGTTATATTAAGTATTGTCGGATGTATGACCAATAAACCAAGTAGCATTGTCCTTTTAAATTTTTTTGCTGTCCCAGGAATAAATTTGCCATGATTTTGAAAATAGCACATAGATCATAATAAAATATTCATTATCTTTTTGAACATATGGCTGTGTTATTTTATTTTACAAATATTTTTATCTGATTCACAATTCAACCACATGTTTATTTTACGTATTTTTCTTTTCAAAATCATTATTTATTGAGAATATTAAATTTTGTAGTTAATGCTCTGCATGTCTGTGAATAGGAAAGTTATGTCATTTAGCCATTACGATGTTTTGTCGCAAATGCATGATAAAATTGTACCTTTATTGCGAATGGATTCACTGCGGTGTAACGCTAACGGACTCATTAACCTCCATTTCGTCATATTGTATTCCTAATTTTTCAATGAATTTCGATGAGTAAGTAAATTGATATCAATGTAAATTAGTTAGAAATATTTCTTCGCTCAGGAAACTTACAAGAAAGTACGTGTAAAGCAGGTTAATTAGTTTTCCTGGAAATATTTCCTTCTTCACCTTACATACGAAAAACGAGGTCGCATGAATCAATACGCGAGCAGCACAGAACGTCCTTAAATAAATCGAAGACACTTCTTTACAAACTTAGTTTACACTAAAATACTTCTTGTTTCAGTGATAAATTTTGAAAGTACTCAAAATTCTATAGTTTGAAATTACCATTTACTTATAATACTTCAAACGTCTATCCTTCATGAGCAGTTGTGATATTTTATACTCCATTTCATGTATTATTCGTAATGATTTGAAAACTATTGTCTGGCGCAATGACCAGTTTCGTTAAATTCAATTCAGTTTAGTTCAATGATGGTTTTACGCGGCGAGAGTCAGGCCATCAAGCATTCACTTCCGTCTGACCACGCAAATTTAGCTTCGCTCTTTTCACCATCTAGTGGAAAAATAAGGTACCACTCAGGGGCGAAGAAACAGGTGATTTAAATTTTTTGCTCTGAGACTTATTGTAGACGTGACGAGCTTTAATACGCAGTAAATCTTCAACTTGGGATAGCCGGCTTTACGTCTCCGAAGGAAGGCGTTCAAAGTATTATTTTGCCCAAATTCATGGCTTCGACTAGGTTTGAACTCGTCAACGTTATTATAACAGTCCGATATGGTAACCGTTATACAATCACAGCTGAAGTCGGTCGGCAGAAACACTCGG